CTTGTGGGGAGAAATAACCCACCACTCTGCTTGGCTTACCATGTCATCCACACACACCAGCTCTATTCAAAAGTTGGCATATTCTTCTTGTCTTTCTGGTAGCCACAGAAAAATGCAGGTGTTTCCTTCACCACCACACATTACTTTTTTTCTACACATATGCACACATGCAAAGCAGAAAGCACTTAGTCTATTCCTTGCTTCTGTGCTGTTCCCTCTTTTCCCCAGGTTTGCTGTGCAGCTGCCTGTCCACCCTTGCATGGTCGAGCCTGTGGGCATACCTCTCTGGTGTCATAGACAAGAGCAGCTCTGAAAGTGATGCGCATGCCTCTGTACACCAGACAGGGCTGGAAGTCATTTTTAGGCCAGTCAGAGTAAGCTGGGGGCTTTGTGGCAGTATGTTGGCACTGGGACCCCTGTGCCTTCCGGTGTAACTTCACTCTGCTGCCTGAATTTCCTGTCACAGTGAGGAGAGCAGGGCTGCTGCGCTTCTACTAATGATTTAGAGGTTGCAGTTTATTCCTTTCAAATGGTTGCTGTGTGCATTGCTGTTACTCACGTTAGGTATAAAGAAGTTCTTTACTGTGAGGATGGTGAGGTGCTGTGAGGATGGTGAGATGCTGGTTAGGTATAAAGAAGTTCTTTACTGTGAGGTTCTCCAAAGAAGTGGTAAATGCTGCATCCCTTGCAGTGCTCAAGGCCAGGCTGGACAGAGCCTTTGTGTGACATGGTCTAGTGTGAAGTGTCCCTCCCCATGGCAGGGGGGTTGGAACTAGATGATCTTAAAGTCCAACTCTAACAATTCTATGATTGTATGATTCTAGGTCTGTAAACATCTGAAGAGCACAAAATCTACTCTGAAGAGATGAAATCTACAGCATCTCAGCATTTGGAATTTAGGTCAGTTCAAGCCAGGATCCACAAAAATGCACTTTAATTGAAGTAATTTTATCTATGTCCTAATCTTCTGCTTCAAGTGCTGAGGGAGCTGGCAGACACGATTGCTAGGCCACTCAATCATCTTTGAAAGGTTATGGCAATCAATCAGATGTGCCTGAGGGCTAGAAGAAAGCAAATTTTCACTCTGGTCTTCAAGAAAAAAGGAGGACCCTGCGAACACCAGGCCAGTCAGCCTCACCTCAGTCCCTGGAAAGGTGATGAAACGGCTCATCTTGGAGACCATGTGGAAGCCAGTAGGGTGATCAGGAGTAGTCAGCATGGATTCACCAAAGGGAAATCATGATTTATCAACTTGATTGCCTTTTAAGATAGGACAACTGGCTGGGGGAAGAGCAGCAGATGTTGTCTACCTAGACTTCAGTAAGGCTTTTGATACTGTCTCCCATGACATCCTCATAGGAAAGCATTAGAAGTGTGGGCTGGACAGTGAGGTAGATTGAGAGGTGGCTGAATTGCACGTCTCAAAGGGTTGTGGTCAGTGGCACAGAGTTTTGTTGGAAGCCTGTAATTAGTGGTGTCCCCCAAGGGTTGATACTGGGTCCAGTATTGTTTATCCTATTCATCAAGGACTTGGATGAAGGGACTGAGTGGCTCCTCAGTAAGCATGCTGACGATACGAAACTTGGAGGAGTAGCTGATACCTCAGAGCTCTCTCCTGTCATTCACAAGTATCTGGACAGGCTGGAGAGATTGGCAAAGTACTGTCTGAAATTCAACGAAGGGAAGTGCAGAGTCCTGCACCTGTGGCGCAATAACCTCCTGCACCAGTGCAGGCTGGGGGCTGACCTGCTGGAATGCAGCTCTGCAGAGAGAGACCTGGGAGCTCTGGTGAGCAGCAAGTTGTCCATAAGCCAGAAATGTGCCCCTGTGGCCAAGAAGGCCAATGTTATACTGGGCTGCATCAGGAAAAGCAGGACAAGGGAGGTGATCCTCCCACTCTACTCTGCCTTGGTGAGATCTTACATGGAGGACTATGTCCAGTTCTGGGATCCCCAGTGCAAGAGAGACATGGAGCTCCTGCTGCAAATCCAGCAAAGGACTATTAAAATGATTAAGGGTCTGAAGCATCTCTCCTGTGAGGAAAGGCTGAGGGAGCTGGGCCTGTTCAGCCTGAGTAATGTGCTCTAGGTGACATTCCTTAAACAGGGAGGTTGGACTAGATGACCCCTGAATAATTCTGTCCAACCTCAAGGATTCTGTGAAAAGCTCTGGCCTTCACAGCTGGCTCAAACATAAGACATACTCTGCTCAAACACACAGAGCAAACCTGAGAGCCCATTACCACTATACCCAGTGACAAAACTGGTTTTGAAAATATTTCTCTTGTGCACCTTTTGGTAAAGCTGCAGTTCAGCAATATGCAAAACCCAGGTACTGGTGGAGGTCATGTCATGTTCAGGAGTCATTTTGAGAACATCAACCTGGAGAGCAGCACAGTTAGCTGCTTGCTCAGGAGACATCAGGTAGCGCTGCTACTCTGCACTGGCCCCTTGATTTTAGCTTCTTCATCTGCACTTTATTTTTTAGCTCTACCCTCCTTATTTCCCACCATCATCACCCCAAAAGGCAAGGTCCCTCTCAGCCTTCTTGTTATGATCCTTGCCTCTCATACTACTAACCGCTCCAGCACACAACAAGCAGCCACAATATCATGCCTTTGGGAATTCAACACTGGCTTCTCAAAGCCAAGCTTTCACAGTGCTAAGCCAGAACAATGTCGAAGATTTTGATAACTAAATTCTGCCTCCGTGTAAAACTGGAAGCTTGTCTTGGCAGGAAACTCCTGTTGTGCTGTAACTCCTTTTACTTCTTCTTCTTTTTCTTTTTTCCTAACTTCCAAGCTTCCAACCTGTGTGAAATGCTGCTTCTGGGCATGGCCAGAAAGCTCAAATTTCACTGCTGGAGCAGCTCAGACAGAAGTTTGGCGGAGGGCAAAAAGAAGACATAATTTTTTTGCCAAGTGCCCCAAGGCAGAGGGGCTAGTTCAGGCAGGAGATGAAAGCTTGGCTGATACTTAATAAACTGGCACGTCATGAACTTACTAAACCAGTGCAGATATGAGATAATAAGAGGATAAAGGTACTTCATCAGTTGTTTATATACATACATTTTATGTAAGCTCCTGGCCGGTGGGAACCACTGTACGTGTGTTATCCCTAGTAATAATACTTATCATACTGCTCAGGAGAAACCAGAGTGCTGGCCCAGAGGGCCAGCCAAGGCTGATAGACTCCGGGCTCAGGGACAGACAGAACAGAAACAAACTCTGCAGTAGCCAGCTGTGGGCAACCAGTGACCTCTAGAAGGGACAGGTGTAGGACAGGCCAACAGCACTTACTGCTTTTCCTGTTATTCAGCCCTCTATGTGCTGGAAAAAAGGAATCATCCTTCTCCAGGAGAGAAAGATTACAAGCACCAGTGTGACTTTCTGACCTGCTTCCATGTAGCAGGTTTGAACAAGAGCTGCCTGTTTCCAGCAGGATGGCCTCGCAAGAGTGCAACCCTGTATATCTGAAAGGTAATCCAAAGGTGTGGTGCCTGCACCTGCACTCCAGTCCGAACACTGAAACACTCTGAACAGGAGAGTGGCCCATGAACACCCTACAGCTTTGTGGTGAGGGCTCTCCTGCCACCTGGGTGTGAATCTCTGCTGACAGAACAGGATGTGGGCCCACTCTGGTACCCACCTCTTCCCATGTTGTACAACCAGCAGCACCTCATGGTTGCCATCCCTATGCCAAGTTCATTAGTAGGGCCCAAAGATACCTAACCCCAGCTTTCATTGGCTTTCAAATGACAGTCTAAAAGCAAATCTGTACTTTTGCCCCAGCTGAAGGGATGGCTAGCACACAGCCTCTCATGATCAGCAGCAGTGTTTTGCCTCATGCTGTCTCTAAGAACAGTAGAACTCTGAGCAATTTTAAGTTAAACAGGGCAGAACATGTGGAAACTTGATGCTGTGTTCCACAGCATCTGGGTCAGGTTTAGTGCATCCACCCGCAGCTTTAGTAGCAGAAGAAAATCCCAGATAAAACCCCATGAAATGCACACAGCCGGCAAGCAGAAGAGAGACTTTCCTATCACTCCAGACAGATCTACCCTTTAAGTATCAACACTGACTGAAACTGTTAATACCTGCCAGCATTTCTCATAAGCTTTCTACTAACTTTTGCATCTGCTTTCTTGTATTCTGCTCTTTTTTGTTCTAGTAAGTTCTTAGTCCTCTTCCTTGGAGCATCACCCAACACTCCAGCTCCTCCCACTCTTTCATTAGAGGTTATCATTATCCAAGTGTCCTGCTGTCCCCTCTATACCTGTAAGAGACTTATCTGAAATGGGACTCCATTGTCCCAAAGATCGGTATGAGAAGCTAAGATGGAATTCCACCAATCCATTGTCTCAGAGAACTGGTGTGAGCAATTGAAATGGGGCTTGTTTGCGTCTTAATTTCACTCTTGGGATCACAAATGAAATAGGGTCCAGCACTGGGGTTTTCTCCTGTCAGACCCTGACAATACCCACAGTGATTTGTTCCCAAAGTCTTTCAGGAGCAAAGAACCCATTTCTTCATAGTTTACACAATGCAAAACACAACTATTTCAGAGCAACAAAGTGTGCAAGCTGTCATCTAGCCTGCAGTGCCTAGTTTCTACCCAACAAAAACACTATTCACTCTCTAACTTATCTCAAGCCCCCAGAGCAAAACCATAAGGATTTTGTTGCTATTGCTGTTCAGTATGAAATAGTTTGCACCACCTATTTTCTTTCTCCCAATATTTAGATTTTGATTTTCAGTAAAACTGAACCCAAAACCCTACCTGTGTTGGCTCAAAGCGTATGCTACACTCATCTTGGAGCTGAAGAAGATGGAAGACCTTTGGGCAGGATAGTCAGAGATGAGTACATCAAAACACAAAGGCAAGGCGACAGTTTTTCGGTGGCTCCTGTCTCTCATTCTACAGTTACAGGATGTATTCTGACACTCCTTAGAAAGTCACTGCTCTAGTAGAGGAAGGACAAAAATGAGCAAGACAACAATGTGATTCTCAAAGCTGTCACACCATCCCAATTGCAACCATAGTTTATTTCTAAAACAGCTGGAATCCCGTATTTCACAAAGCTGCAGACAGATGGAGCTTTCAGAGAAAGATTGACACTGAAGGAAACTTAAAACACTTTTGCTGGCAGAGCTACAGTAGTGAGGTGCCAAAGTCCGTGCCAGATGGAGCTGCCATTCGAAGACCCCTGGCAGAGCTGGTGATACCAGCAAAACCTGGGCTTTTTTTGGTAGGCTTGTTTCACAAGGAAGCTTTACAAGGAAGCGAGGAAATTTTGGCAGCATAGATGCCAGTTTTCCAGCCCAAAAGCATTCCACATTAAAAGCATCTGATGCGTCTATGGACTCAGCCCTGTCTGTTGTAACAGCTACAGCTGCAGGCATACCTTAGGCCTATCAATAGGCACAAACCCTGAAAGGGAACTTACTTATCTTGATTCAGTATAAACAAGTGCACTTGCAGCAAAACATATTTGGATGATCACAGAGCATAGTTCAAAGATTCTTTGGTTATCAAACAGCATGAAATTCCCCCTATTTTTCGCCCCCCACTTTGTGACAAGTGCCAGATTGATGTGAGAGGCTGAAAAAGAGATGCTAGTGTAGTGACAGGAGAGGGGGCATGATTCCAGACTGTTCTTCAGAGCAAGCTCAGGCTCCAGCTCCAGTCCTTAGCAGGCACTTATCCACACTGCCACAGCAGCTCTGAGGTCTCAGCTGCATTCACGCTGTGTAGAAAAACACTAGTTTCCCAAGGATTGCTAAGAGGGGTTAAAGCTTGTAGGAAGATGCCTACTGCCTATCTGAGGTGATATCTCAGGAGGTGAAAGAGAAATAAAGCTCTTTTCTCTGGGGGAATAGAGGAGGTACTATCCTTAAATATCTACTATGTCAGTTCAAATTAAAGCCAGAGCACTGGTTTCTAAAAACTTTAGTTAATTCAAGTCAGTCTTGGCAGGAGAACTTGTGCTCAAGAACCCCTGTTGCAAAAAAATGCATCTAGAGATATATGTGTGTGTACCTTCTGCTGTTACTGTCACTGAAAGTACTCAAAATGAAGTCCTGGGTCATGTACATCCTTTGGACCAGTCTTGTACTGGCAGGGCAAGGAAGCCTGAACTATCACTGACTGCTGACAGCAGATTGCTAGGTGAAAAGGATGTCTCTTCTTTTAAGCCAGAACACCTATGAGGCATACTCACTTCAGGTCAATTAGAAGAAAAAAGTAAATAATTTCTGATCAAACACAAAATACATCATCTGAAGGGATGGGACAGAAAAGCAGGCCAAAGTTGGACATTTTAAAGGAATAAAAAATAGTCAATATGAAATCAATAACATAAGTAAGTGCCTATTACTTGGTTTTATTTGAATAATCCTCTATATTAATGTCAAAGCAGTTTATCTTGGAATGAATATATGTTTTCATCCACAAACGGCAGACTTCTGTGCTTTCAAATTGTTTCCTGCTCTGTGTTGCTGTAAATAGGGCACTTATGAAAAGGAACAGCAAGAAGAACCACAGCAACTATGCACTGTGAAGAGGGGGATCCATACCCATCTAGGTTATCTACTCAGTTACTACTGAGTTACTCAAATTTTTTGACACTTTACCAGTTGGCCAGTTTTGAGGTTTTTTGTCAAAGAGTAAAGAAAAAAATCAAAGTAAAGATAGATATATTAGGATGAGAGAAAAAAAAATAATCAGGTGACAACAAACAGCAATGAGGCACAAAAAGCATTTTCTGAGAGGACCATTAAATTGCACAGAATTTCTGACAAACAGGAAAATGCAGTGTAGGGCAGAAAATGCTTTTTTTTCCGACAGACTGGACCTGGTAAATTGTATGAATCCTACTTTTTGTAGAAGCCTGCTGCACCATCATGCAGTTGTCCTGTCAGAAGAGACCCACTTACAAGTTCTACTTCACAGCTAGACATGAAAGGCAAAACACAAAGGACAAGGAGCCTGTGCTTCCCTTTTTCCTACAAAGAACTTCCAGGTCACCAGAGATGGACTGCAGAAGGAGAGAAAGACAAAGGTGCCAAGAAGGCATTATCTCAGCCTTGAAGTTACACAGAACTTCAAGGCAATACCGGGTTGGACCAAACTGTTCTACCTGTCCAGGTTCTGGGCAGTCTCCAAAAGCACAGATCCCAGTAGAGGCAGAGGAAGGGACAAACCACGTGTAAGAGAGAGAAAGAAGCACATTGCTCCACTCACAATGGGCTTTTCATAAACAGTTAGACTCCAAAGAGAATAATCTATAGGAGATGCACAGATATTTTCTACAGAACAGGTCTTTCACATACCCATTTACAAACATGTATTTGAAAACTAAAAAAAAAAAAAAATATCCCACAAAACATTAAACACATATTCCTGGATATGTATTTTTCTGTATTTTGCAGAGGGAAGTTTGTAAGAATAATCTTTGATTGTTAATAACCTGTAAAACTTCATGGGGAAAAAAACTGACTTCATCACGTCCTACTGGGCTTAGGAGGCACTGTTCGCAGTGATGTATCCAAGTTGCAGTTCATAATTTCTGATGTTGGCTGATGTTAGAAAAAGTCCACAGTTCTCATACAAAGAGGTAACAAAGCCTTGGGTCAGCTTATGCAGGCACAGATCAGTTTGTAGCAGTTCCTTTGTTAAACAAATCATCCTTGGGGGTTAAGAATCAGGTAGGAATTTGCAGGATTTCCCTTCTATAAACAGATGGAGGAAATCACAAATCTCCTCTGAAAGGAGAACCAAATGATTATCCAGAGGAGTTTTAAAGGCACTTACTGCAAATAGCTGGAAGTGACCACAGCCCAGCTTGTGAGACAGAAATTGTCTTTCTATGTAATGCTCATAAAAAGCAGGTTTCTCCATTATAAACTTCTTTGGGGGGGGGGGGAGCAGAGAGAGCAAAAAGACTTTGGTTCACAACATTCTTTTGCATAGGTATTCAGGTAGGTCTTCAAAAGCTACTGGCTGTCCAGGCTAGTAACAAAATACCTATGCTCTTTCCTCAGTAGTGGCCGCTCCTCTTCGGTATCCTGTTTCATAAGGCAGACGTCTTACAGTGATGAAGTCATACAGATGCATCTTTGAAAAGGAAGACAGTGTCACTTGTGTTGCCACAAACAAATTAATCTACTTGACTAAAGAACACACAGGAAACCTTTTGGTAGGGGGTGGGAGAGGGAGAAGAGGAAGCACTGGTACATTCACCACTTGCTAGAAGCAAGTTATTTTGCCCTTGTAATTAGTTAACAGCTGTCAGTAGTTGTGATAATATGTCTGTGTTGACAGAAAATATGGAATTATTATTTTGTGAGTAATTTTGAGTTACAAGCAACAGGATGTTAATAAATCCTTCCAGGTAGACACAGCCCTGTGTCAGAAAGTATAAATATTCATTTTGGGAAGCATTCCTGCAGTTACGAAGTTTGATACTTACTGGTTGACTGTGTGATGCACGAAACCTTGTAGGAAGACCATATGCTTAAAACACAAAGGATGGTAGCTAGGAACCCGAAAGTCTGGAGGAGAAAACAAACAAACCACAAATGCATTAGATGACACATATTCCATGAATGTATGGACACTCCTCTATATCCAGCTATGTATTTTACAATGTTAGCTGTCTCAAAATGTGATTTTTTTTCACTCTATTCTGCCAATATAATAAAAATATAAGCATTTCTGTACTGTAATAAGCAGTTACGTCTTATCAAAATATCAACAGAAAGAGATGGAGGGTCTTATACAAGGGGGGAGAAGAAGCTGGGCAGCAGCATAGTCTCCCCTTGTAGACTTCTGGGTTCTGCAATAAAGACTTCTTCTCACACCTTTGATTACGGTTCTTTTACTGCCCCATTCAAACAAGTCTTTCCCTGCCATCTGCCAAGTAAACAAGTCAGGTAAAACAAGTCTTCTAGTCCATTTACATCATCAGGACTAAGTTTCTGAAAGCAATTCTTTATTCTGGAGGGGCTGTATTTCAGGTCTTGCTGCTGTGAAAATGCTGCTGTCAAAATACTGCTGCCCACATTCAAAAGTCATGCCTCTCTCTCTAAAGCCAGCAGAGGCAGAGAGTATCTTTCAGTAAGTTAGCCCAGAACGCCAGTGGCTTTTAGCTCAGGAGAAATGATCTTGAACAAGGCTTTGCTCAGGAGCAGGAGGTGTCAGAAGCTGAAGATTGGGGTGAAATCTTTTCCGTAACTTCTAGCTGCTGCAACAGCCATTTGTCAAAACTGAATTGTTTTAATTCTCTCCCTAAACACATTAGTTCCTATGAGTTAAAGTAGAGGGCTTTTGGTTTTAACTCTCTGACAGGACAAATACCCACTTTAGTGGTGAGTCTGGAGTCCCACAACAAAATGTTTTTGTTGGCATTGAGCTACAGAGCGTTCACTGAACTGAACTAGAAGGTAGTTCACCCAACCAAGACACAAGCAAGGCAAGTCTGTAAGAAAATTATATTACAAGTAATAGATTTCCAATGTCCTACTTAATACATATGGCAACCAAAAAAGTGTCAGTCTTACCGCTCCAGCCACAAGTCCAGTCAAATTGTAGCTCTTGGATGCTGCTACAATCGATGCAATGAGAAGCAGAATTGTACCAATTAGATAATGAAGAAACTCCTGTAAAGACAAGCACAGCCTGCATCAGAAGGGAAGCTGATTAGGAAAGCATTTTGATATGCCTCAGAATGAAAACAAGTTGGCAGAGGTTATTCAAACCCAGAGGACAAAACATCAGTCAAAAGAAGAAAAAGAGGGAAAAGGAGTGAGAGAGGGAGCGGAGAGAGAAACACACCTTGTGAGTGGACTTTGTACCATACTGAATTTCTGTTAAAAAAAAAAAGATCAATCTTCAGGTCTACTAATGTCACTGGAATAAGATCTTACTGGTATGGATGCAATCCTTTAAATTCAACATGGTACATTACTGAGGGTGAAGCATCAAGTACACACCTTGAGCCAGTTCTGGAGGAAGGCAGAAGCCTTAACAGCATATTTCTATAGCCTATATGAAATGGCAATAAAGAGCTAAAGTGGAAAACCAAATGCTCCTACTTCTGATAACCTTAGAAAGTAACCAGTGGATCTACTGCTGGATTTACTAGCAGCTTACATCAACCAAGACTGGAAGCAGAAGGGAAGCCATGACAAGCACAACTACACAGATACTCATAACCAGCACCCAGGCTCCTAAGTCTGCAAGGGTGGCTGCAGTAAAACATGATGCCATGGTCTTTCCTGAGAGACCACTGAGGCACCACGTGTAAGCTCCTCTCTAGTGTGACAAGTATCAGTCCAGGAGTCAATTTTACCTTGTTATAAACAAGAGTTATCTATGGATTTGGATTATGAACCCTCACAAAGCTTACAGCAACCAATATGGGTGTTTGCAAACTCAACATGGGTTGCTTCTTTTGCATGGTGGGATGAGCAGGAGTGCTTCCTTTATCTGCATTGCACCACCAGCATGAGCCAAGCAAATGCCATGTATAAGGGAGAGGAGAGATTCTGTCCCTAAACAAATGAGAGCGAAAACAGTTCCGAAAGGAAATTGTCCAAGGAAATACTATAGCACGATTTCCCTCTGCTCAGGTGTTTATAAACAACTGAGAAGGATCTTTGCCATAAATTAGGCTCTGAGACTGCAACTTACTTTCCTCATTTGTGACTTTGTTTCAGGTAAGTAAGATCTCAACTCTTGCTTTTGCTAGAATAAATTATTTTTGTAAGGAGGCTTCTCCACCAGGTAGCAGGCAATTTAGGCATGCCATTGCCTCCTTAGAGACACCAAATAACACAGTGTACAGTGTACACAGGCCATTATTTTAGAGGAATCCGAGGGTTGGGCAAAGGTGCAAAAGAACCTCAAAGGCAAAATTAGGTGGAGAACCAGCTGCTGGCATGACTGGGAGAGTGCCCCTCTGGAGAAATACTTCCCAGTTTTAAAAGCTGTCAGTGATGAACAACCTTTTGAACAACTGCAACTTTAACTACTGCAGATAACACTCCTGACTGCAATGTGGAGACCCTGTCAGGAAACTCTGCCAAACACTAGCTGTAATTTCCCAGAGGCTCTTACAGGTCTTTCTATCCTGTTCTAAAGATATATATGTGACTGAAAGGGAGGCTGGTTGTAAAAGAAAAGCAGTGCTCAAGCATCACATTCCATAAAGCTATCTGAAGCTGAGTAGCCCAAAACTGCAAAGCCTCAAACTCACTAGTGACTCTGGAACATTTAGGAATGATTAAACACACAACAAGAAACAAAAACAGCCTTTGCATAGTCCTGTTACAGCAATGCACATGTTAAATGCTGCTTTCCAAAGCTGTCGTTCATCGCAGATTTCAATCCCTGCATCTGTATTATCTCTAAATAAAGAAGTACTTTCTAGAGACAGATAGTGGTGGTACACATTTAAGAAAATAAGAAGGGGTGCAAGTATATCCATATTCTTCGGCTAAAAAGAAAATTAGTATTTCCCTCTAGGTAGCAGTGGATGGACGGACAAACAATTCTCTTAGATTTGTAAACAGCTTATGCAGCTTCCATTAAACACCATGCAACCACTTCCTGGGTTTCAAAACCCCTCTATATCTCTCCAGTTGGCTTTCCCCACCCCTTTGGTCCTTCCTCTGTGGAACTGACATGTTATTATGCACATAAGGGAGACATATTCTATGGGGTTATTAAAATCTGTTATCCCACACTAGGAGGCAGGACTGTTTTCTGTTACCTGACCTGACCCAAAGCTACTGAAGAAGTTCAGGACTCACATTTTCTGTGCTGCTTGTTAGTTCTCTGCTAAGATGTGAGAGATGGATGTGCAGGGGAAATGGGGGAACGAGGTAGGAATATCCTGCAGGATATCCCAGGAATACCCAGGCTATGGAAATCAGGCTGAGGCTCCTATTTCTTGCTATTGTTTAGGTTACCTAAAACCATATAAAAAAGAGACACACTTGACTTACATAGCACTCACAGACTTTATTTTGGGACAGGATGTAGTACATGAATGCTAATTCTAATTATGATTTAGTATTCTAATGCTATGATTTAGTTGACTCTATCAATCTCTTAGCTACTGTAAATAATCTGAGCTAGGACCCATCTGCTGAAGGCTTGATAATCAGTAGCTTCTTTTCAATTGCCTCAGAATAACACTATTGCTTTTCCTGGAGTAAATCTGTGTTGATATCTGTGTAAAGGAGGGCAGGATCAGATCCAAATCGGCTTAAAAAAATAACAATTGCAGCATGTGCTCAACTGAATATTAATAACAAAAGCAACAAAAGGATTTGCATCAAAGACAAAAAAGAATGATGTGGAAGACAGCCTATCATTGTGTTATAGCACAAGTAAATGGACTAAGTAATCAAGCCATCAACCCAGAGAGGCAAGGAACCCAGACCATCTAAGTGGCTTACCGCAAGTGGCCAGCTAACGCAAGTGAGCTTCTTGTAGATTCTGAAGATATGGATAACGTAGAAGAACAAAATCATAACCAAGTCGCACATGGTCACAATCTGAAAGTAGCTGTACACGCTGTAATCTGTCCATGGAGAATTATTCACACTGATAAATCCAACCACCAGTGAGATCTGAAAGACAAAAGGCACATTAAAGATTTTTACAATGGTGCCTCAGGGGGCCATGAAGGTGATTTTAAATGCAATAAAATGGCACTTAGAAAGAGAAGACAAATATCTAATGTAAACTGGAAGGTCCCAACAAAATGGAGCAGAAAGGAGTATGGTAATAATGTTTTAAAAATTGCTGTTAAAATGAGCTATAACAACCAGTAAGAGTGGGGAAAAGAGCCAACTGCTAGAAGGAAAGCAGCAGTTTCAGTCTGAAGAATCCAACCTGAAGAAGTCTCAGAGAAGCAGCATTGAATGCCTGCAGTTGTACCAATGGCTGATGCATCTAAACCTCACCGACTTTCAGAAGGAAATCACTGAAAGCTGTGAAAATGAAAGTGCCCCTGGCCACAGGCACCTTTACTGCCAGTTAGTCAGATTATTCACATGCAAATTCAGAGGACCTGGATGCAACTAAATTAACAGTTTTACCCTTCCTTTTCTACCACCTAGTGAGAAGGAGAATAAGCAGACTACAAAGTAGTATGAGGGCAAATAACATAAACATTTGGAGGAGCTGATTAATTCATCTCCCCCCCCCAATACAATAGCTATAAAGTTTTGATACTTTAGCACTGTCACAAAAAAACATACAGCATTATTGTGTATCTTCTTTCTGTTTCAAGCTTGCAAAGCACAGAAGCTATTTCATTTCACTTTATAATCTAAATCTACTTGTTTGTTTTACTGATCTTCCTGCTTCTCCAGCCTGGCTAGCCATGGTGATAAAAATGAATCGACTCAGCATATACCCAAATATTTTCTTACTAGAGACTGTCAGTGCTTTCAGCCACTGTAATTTTTAGTCACCCAAAGCCAGCCAGAAGCAGTAGTGATTCACATTTTAACTGTTTTGCTAAGATATTAAAAAACTGTCTGAGGAAGCTGGTACTTCAAGACTGCACCATCCTGTCCTGCATACTCATATTTCAAACTCATAACCAATTACATCCATTATTGGAATAATTTCCTTAAGATTAAAAGGAAAAAAAACCCAAACCCAACACTCAAACGACATAGCCTAGATTTTCCCTGTTGTAATGTTAACTAGGTTTCACTTGCTCAGTTCTATGTGGATAGGCCAAACATCGGCAACCTCAAGGGCAACTGAAAGCTCTATACACACGTAAAAAATTTCACAAGAAGAAATAAGAAGATACAAGGTACCAAAGTAGTCAGTGAAGAATCTGCTCAGCTACTAAGAACAGGGTAGAAAGGTGGATGTGAACAAATGTGCTTTCCATTTCAGATGTACTTTACAATTAATTCCAAAACCAATTAGTAAAGAACATCCCTTCCTTGTTCTTATATGTGCTTCAACACACAAGTAGGGAGAAATCACTGCATGGCAAGAGATGGTATGCCTTTCACAGATTTCCTTTCTTGGCACACATTTCACAACATGAGATTGATGTGCAATTTCTAAAGAGGGCACTCTGATCAGAGGCACATAATGCTATTTCACAGGACCATATCAACAACTTTATATAAAGCTATACCATGTTTGCCACTATATTGCCTGCATGGCTAGCAGGTACAGTCTGAAATTAAAACTCAGCTGTTGAAAAAGAACACTAACAAATGTAGGAAATAGAACCACATAATATTATTTGTCCTTTAAAAGCGACAAATACCAAAGTTCCTTCACCAGATACTGGTTTATCATGATATACTGGGTGATGACTTGGGATTTTTCCACCAAGAATTCCCAGAATGCTCCCAGAGAACTTGAAAGATTAAATGATTAATATGTAACTGTCTGGGATACAGTTCAACATATATCTTAGAAGTCAGTTTGTAGCACACAGAGAGAGAGATAGGAGAGAAATGAACGGCAAACCACTAAAATGATCAAATATTATGAGTGTTCTTTATGTATCCATGCTCAGGGGAGCAGGTTAATACATCTTGCAAATAAAAACTAGAGGCATGGAAAAATCAGGGCACTGCCACTTCCATTTCAATACAGTACTTCACAGACTGTGAGAGCAGCAGACATGCATCCCACAGCCAGCAAGCCAGTCAGACCAGAAGTACAGGTCGAGTGATGGTCAGACTCATTAGAATATTTGAATGTACTCCACAAAATATACCCAGGCTTCAGACCTGCATTACAAAAGGGGTGAGGGTCACATTGCAGGACACTAATATCTATGTGTTTTCTCATTGCTGAAAAGCAAAACAAGCATCAATCATCTCCAGGGAGGGATTTTTGATTTAAATGAAGTATTTACTCTGTTTCCCAGAAATCAGTTGGCTTAAACTAATCCACTTCTTGACTTCCCCTTGGACGAGATATTTGAAGTGAGTCACGAATTGTGTTTAGGAATGCTGAAACTATGGCACAATGAAGTCAATGTGAGCTAAAGGCAGTCAGCAATTGCCAGGAGGTACTCAAGACCTTACCAGATGGAACAGGCATCATAAAGGGAAGATGGTAAGAGCCTGCATTCTCTTCTCTATTTTGAGCTGGAGGCAAGGCAACCACATCCTCTGCAACATGCCTGTGGAAAATGTTGGCTCTTGAATAGCACTGACATAAGCTCTCAAGCCTAAACTCCATTCCATTTTGTAGTGAGCACAGCTCTATCAAAAACAAAACACAGTTTACTCTTTCTTGTCATCTACAAACTGCTGAGGGTGCAAGACCATCCACCATGTGCCAGCAAGTTTAAAGCAGCTCCAAGGAAGGGGCAAGCAGAAGTGCATGCCCACCAGTCAAGAGATTACAGATACAATTGCCCACACTAGTGCCCTGAGGGTAATGAAGGAACCATAACACAAGAAAGGACTTGTTTTGCTCTCTGTGTCCACAGGCCAGCTGGCACCACTAAGCATTTTCTGACCATGTGGTAGAAAGCTGTAGTTTGTCAGACAGCAGAATGATTTTATAACTCAGGAATCAATTTGTGCAAGTGCTTTGTATTATCTTTTTTCTACTGTCCTGCTCTAATGGATGCAATAAATAACACTCTGGCTTTATTGCCAGTACTTAATTGTTTTGCAGCATTTGGAGAGAGCTAAATGCTCCTCAGACACAGCTACCTGCACAAACATAAATCCAGCATGATCTCCAATACTGACAAGAACCTACTCTAAAGGAAAGCCTAATGCTCTGAGCATTACAGACACATTTCTACAAACACCGACACAAGGGAGTAATTGAATGTCACCGGCTCTTAAATTCTGACCCCAGTTTTGTAACCATCTTACTGTTTGAACTTCAGTGAATCATGGATTTTGCTGCTTCAGCTCCCCCATTTGCTAAATGACAACTAATAAAGACTTCACATGCATTGCACAAAATTTTTTCACCTTCAAAACACTTCAGATATGTAAAATACGGCAAAGATGTTGACCACCACTAACACACATCTAGGTCAAGGTGACTGTTTTCCTTCATAGTGTGAACTAACACAGTAGAAAAAGGTTAGTCTTTGAGGGCTGCTTTTTCATTGATTTGTTCCCATTACACTACACAAAACAAACAATGACAGCCCTGGCTCACCGTAAAATTGGGAATTGCCATTTATTCCCTAATAACTGTCACTTATTTATTTACAACAGGCTTTGTTATCATGTGCCACAAAACCCCCACAATGCACAAGATATTGCAATAATCTTTAATGCTAAGGATGCTTTACAATTCATGCTCTTGACCATTCTTGACTGTTCTGTATCACACATTATCACTCACCCATATCCATCTGTTCTTTTGCATCTCTATTAATGACTGAGAAATAAGGGTGACCGTTTCCCACTGTGCCTGTACAACACCCCATACAGTGGGGATGTACTGGGTGTTGTTGGGATAAACTTAACAGCCTTCACAGCTGCTCACATGTCACTCTGCTTTGCATTTGTGGTTAAAACAGTGTTGATAACACATCAATCTTTTGGCTGCTGCTGAGCGGCACTTGCACAGCACCAAGGCTTGCTTTCTCCTCCCTCCCTCATCTCAAAGCAAGTAGGTTCGCAAGAGAGTGAGAAGCTTGGAAGGGACACAGCCAAGACAGCAGTCTCCAAGTGACCAAAGGGATATTCCAGACTATATGTGGTCATGTTCACTGATAAAAGCTCAAGAAAAGGGGAAATGTTCAAAGCTACGACATTTGTCTTCCCAAGTGATCATTACACATGCTGAGGTCCTGTTTTCCATGAAGTGGCAACACTTGCCTGCCACTGGGGAGAAGTGAATGAATTCCTGGTTTTGCCTTACTGGTATGTGCAGCTTTTGCTTTCTTCACAAAATTGTCATTATCTCAATCCATGGGTCTTTTTTGCCTTCCTTCTATTTTCTCCCCATCCTTCAGGAGAAGGGAGGGAGTGAGAGGCTCGGTGTATTTGGCTGCTGACTGGGGTTAACCCACTGTGGGTAGCTCATTCCTAGCCTGGGATTTCCAGCTGCTGCCGTAGTACAAAAAAACATTACAAATCTTTATTGCACAAAGGAACTGAACATCGTGTTTGCAAACCCCACAATCATATACTGAACTGACAGGCTGAAACTGCTGTCTGATTGTGTAACTATTAACTATGGATAATCATTTTCTTTTCTGTATAGAAAAAAAGATGTGAAATGCCAGCTAAACAGCAGGGAGGGAAGATAATGTCGATAAGAAGCAAAATAGCTTCAAGGCGCCCAGTTCTAGAGAAACACTATAACTCTTACCTCAAAGATTCACCATAATACTGTGACACACACATCAGCATGTATAATCTACCCAGGGCTGCATTATCGTTTTATTGAATTATTTTATCATGCAGTGTAAAACCACATTCTTGCATTTGTCAGAGTATTTTTTCTTTCTTGACTGCACTCCTGTCTGCTACACTCCGATAAGAAGCTGTACTATGACTTTTTGTCTCCAGTGTCTCCTTTCTGCTCTTTATTCCCCTTTCCTCTTCTTTCCCTACATTACAGTCCACATTCTTCTGCTTTGTATGTCTCATTCTCTTCC